CCCGTAGTGCTGGGGTCACTGGTCGATTCCGTCTCAGTGTCAGCAAAACAGCATACTGGAAAAGGATCTGCAGTAACCTAATATATATATACAAGAAGCAATGGTGGTGGTAGTTAGTCTCCATTGAAAATAGTTATAACAAGACGCGCTTATAACAGGGAAAAACTGCCGGTCCCGTCTGTCCTGTTTTTCCCGAGTTTGACTGTATTTTTATTGATTTTAATTTTAATTAATTAAAAAATCGGGGAATCCAACCCCTTTTGTTAAATCCGACTTTTCAGTGAATCTGAGTTCGTTGAATCGAAGTTCTACTGAGCCTTCAACAAGTAAATATTCTTCGACACATAAGTCTGGATAAAGAACTCAATCACAAATTCATTATATTTATATATATAATGCAGGTATATTAAATACATGTACATTCCCCACTGATTGGTTTCTGTCAAAAGGACCAGCTAAGGATGGAGGAAGAAAGTAATTGAAAGGAATAAAACCTGGTGCCCCTGAAATCACAGATGACCTTCTCTTCATATAGACTCACAAATTTGAGACGCAATCTAAATTCCTTGGTGAGTTAAGAAAGGTTAGTTAATGGCCTTGTATGCTCAGAGAAGGAGATCGATCCTGTTTAGCTGATCAACAGAGACAGAACTAGCATGAAAAGATGGCGGCACATGCTAAACTAACAGCAGCCCTATACTGTAGTTCACATAGGCCACAAAGGTTAAAAAAAAGGAGAGAAAAAACACACCAAAAAAACCCCCACAGCAACAACCAACAAACTAATAATCAGCAATCACTTGGCCTATCAGACTTGACAGTAGCAGCTAAGCTGTTTAGGCCTTTGCCTTACTCCAAGTTCAGTTTTAGTAAGAGTTTTACAGCATTTGCAACACAATTAGGTCATATAAGTGCCGAAGACTACAAACACACAAAAAAGGAGAGATAAGGACAGTAGATATTTGATAGGAAAGAAGGAGCAAACCACACCAGAGCACCTGCCAACCACCCACATAATAAAGTGAGGGATATTAGAAAATGGAAAATAGAGAAGTGCTACAACCACTGATAACACCACCAGTGACTTTCTTCGTTGTACTGTCTCGCAACACTCTCAGCCCTGTAGAACAGCAGGGAGAGGGACGAGCTCAAGTTAACTGAAGACACACTTAACAAAAACAGTGACGAAGTAGACAACACTGCACAACAAAATTAATAAAATTAATAAAGCAACAGGGAATAATGCATAAACAGTTAACATTGTAACTTTATTTGCAGTATTTATGGTTCATTATAACCAAATGATGATACTCAACAACAGTTACAGATCAGACTTACACACTTCTAAGCTAACAAACATTTAGACATTGGTGGAATTTGCCCATGCATGTCCAAACACTGGCAAACACATACTTAGCAGTCACTCTTGTCATTACATATAGATAGTCATAAAGGCCTATGCCTTGTAAGATAAGTGAAAGTCATCATGTCAATCTCACCAAATGGAGAGCATAGATTCCTACGACATACATGCCCAACTTATCTGTCCGGCTATATGATTTTGCCTACTTTAACCAGGTTCCCACTAATCACAGAGGAAAAAAAAAGGTTTTTTTACATGGTTTGTGCCTGGATTTTGTAACCATTTGCTTTTTTTTTTTTTTAAAGACGACAGCTAGGAGGAGAAAATGAAAAGAAATGCAAGATAAAACGCGTAACATGGCCAAGGACAGTCCCTTTTCCTGAAGGTGTCAGTGTCAATGACAGGGGTTATAGGATAAGTGTTATGTTAACAAAAGCGTGATGAACATGAAAGAGGTCTCCGCTGGCTCGTCGTTGCCGAGTTATTCCACCAAATTCATAATTATGGGTGGCCCTTTCATTTCCTGGCTGTTTCCCCGTATTTTCGTTTTCATTAATTTTTATGGTATCCTCCCAACCGGGAAATCTGAAAATGTAATTCCTGGCTGTCCCCGGCTTTTTTTCAGTTGAGTGGGAACCCTATTCAACACAGGCAAAAATATAATCATTCAATGTCTGACCTATTCATACATTTTTTTCCCTAGCAACTTGATTAGACCAATGAATTTATCACAATGAAGAACACACTTTGTACAGATTGAATGGGTTTCTGTTGCTGACAAACATGATTTCCTTCATGCCTTCCTCTGTTCGCCCTGGCAAAAAAAGAAAAGCAGGATAATTAGCAAAGTACACTGGCAAAAGTATAACCCTACATAAAACTCTTTCTTCAGGAAGAGCAATAAAACAAATATACAATACAAAAATTATTATGTTTACTCCTGTTCAGTCACTGCATAGATGCAGTGGAGTCTGTTTTAATACCTACCAGACCACTGGATTTTCTTCGGTTTCACCAGATTTTCAGTCTAGAGAGGGTTACTTAAAATAATAATGATTGTCGACAGGGTAGAGTTCAAAATATTAGGCTAGCAACAAATTTCACTTTTTAACAAGATTTTTTTTCTCTCGTCTACCTTTTTCAGTAACAACAAGTTGAGTAGCAGGCTTAACTCTCTGTGCTTTCTCTTCAACATTGTGAGCTTGTTTACTCTGCTGAACAGTCACACAGAGCAGACGAAAAAGTAGATAGAGAAGTAAGGAAGAAAGCCCAATGCTAGTGATGTCGTCAAAGATAGTACATAACAAGAGGGGCCACTTCTCTCTTTGAGCCAATTAAAAAAGTGTCCTCAAAATTTGGTGGCGCCCTCT